CACACACACTCGTTGTAGCTTCAACCTTACACACTGAAATGATCAGAAAGCATAAAATATAAAACTGATTCTAATGTTTAATCAGTTACAAAACTTCATAAAAACCGTGAAGGTGCGTTAATCCTGAATGATTGACAGCTGCTTGAATGAGCCGCCTTGTGGCCAGATGTTAAACTGATTCCAGCTGTTGACAAGTTGAAGACTTGTTGAAGCTCAGCTCACAGCTCATATCCTGGATTTACAGAGTTTTAAGGCAGGACTTGTGTTTGTACAGGTTGATGAAGCTTTAAATCACCTAAAAGATGTTTTTATTTACCTGAACTGAACCAGGTCTCATTAAAACAACAGGTCTGAGGTGAAGCAGCAAACATTCATCCTGTGATTTGTTGAGTTTTGAAAGGTGGGCGACAAATGGAAAACACAACCTGAGACATTCAAACTCCTCGTTGTCCACAGGGGTCATCCTGACCGAAGAACGCCAGAGGCCTGATTGATGACTCAGGTGTGGGCTGSAGGAAGTGCCTCTCTCAGTTGATGGTTAATAATCTGTTGATAATCCCGTGGACTTTAGCCTGAAACAKAAAGCTGGATTCTCTGTCTTCGGTTGTTCAGAAGTCACGAGGCTGAAGCAGCAATGGAAGATGACTCAAAGGTAAGTGGCTCACCTGTCTGACAGAGTACACCTATCAATAGTTTCTGGGTCTTCAGAGGTTCACTGCAGGACCAAGCTGGTAGTGTCTCGTAGCTCTTTAATGAAATGTTTGATCACATGACCAGATGTTCAGACACACCTGAGCTCAGTTAAATAAGGAGTGTTTACACAAGCAGCCGAGCTTCAGATGTCGTTACAGCTCAAAGCATGTTTTTCTGTGGAAAACACTTGGAACTGGTTTGTTTCTGACACGTGTTTAGAAAGAACTGCCTTGTCTGGAAACAATTACAATGTCGCTGTGTAAAACAAAAACATTCATTTCATACAACGTTCAGCTGAATGCACCACAAAGACACAATGTTTAATGTTCAGATGCACTTTGGTTTCTTTACAAACAGTCTCTCGTTTTGAATTTGATGCTGTAACGTGTTGTAAAAGGGCTGGGACACGTTGAGGAATGGTCAAAGAGCACCTGTTTGGAACGCTCCACACCTGTTTGGAACGCTCCACACCTGTTGGGAACGCTCCACACCTGTTTGGAACACTCCACACCTGTTGGAAACGCTCCACACCTGTTGGGAACACTCCACACCTGTTTGGAAACGCTCCACACCTGTTTGAAACGCTCCACACCTGTTTGGAAGACTCCACACCTGTTTGGAANTAGTGACACCAGAACTAACTCAGGATTTTCACTTATCCTGCTTTCTGAAATGGGGCTCAGGTGAATCACTGAGAAGCACTCAGGTGTGTAAACAGAACAGGTAAGATCTGGCTCCTCCCATTAGTGAGACACATCCAATGACTGGTTGAAATCTAACTGGTCAGGTAAAAACTAGAGCTGGGAACACAGACTGGCCTTGAAGGAGTGATGTCATCAGGTGTGCTGCATGTCCTGTCTCCTCCCCCTCACCTGTTGTCCTTCATGGCAGTGAGCAGGTGAAGCAGCAGCTGTAGAGGACAACATGAAGAAGCTAACAGCTCTGAATCATCTGCTTCACCTGTATCATCTCTGAGAAGAACTACAACCTGTTACCTGGGACTCTCAGGTGTGTACAGGTGCCAACATGTCGTCAGTTCAGACACTAATTAAATCATTAGAAGTTGGACTCGTCTTCCTGCAGCGTTTCCAACCAACGTTAGAATAGTTTAGACTTTTCATTATAGTTTATTTTATTTTAATTCAAACAGTGTGACCTGTGATCCACCAGGTAATCTGTTCTAAACGTTCTGTCTGAATAAAACAGGATCCCACTGGATTTCTGCTCCAGTTCAGGTACGTTCAGCTCACAGTCAGAACCAAAACAAACCCAGTTCTGCTGTGAGCAGACACTCTGTGAAACAACCAATGAACTGAGCTCATAACGTTCACCTCTTCCTGTTCCACCCAGAGGTCCCTTTTACCTCAGAACGTCAGAACGTCACTCAGTTTGTTCAGGCTACAAGAAAGAACACACACACACACAGTAACACACACACACAGTAACACACACACACAGTAACACACACACACAG